GACAACGACTACACATTATTATTACAAAGACTAGAATTGAGCGTGCTGCGACAAAATAAAAGCTAGAACAAAACCGGAAGAAATGATAAACAAAATTCACACACATAAAGAAGACAGAAGAAAAGCGGAAGTGGAGAGAAGAGAAGACAGAGAGAAAATCTATACAATGCAGAGACACAGATGTTGTTGTGCTCGCTTTGTGCCCACCCAACCTACGATCACCTGCCGCAAGAGCATGGCTCTGGTGATCCCTTCAGGACCCTACGACCGTGGAGTCATCCTACGAGTCGGTATATACCGGTTTTTAAGCTAACATGATTTTTAAAATTAAAACTTGTTTAATAAAATTAATTCAATACTTAAAGCTAACAAAGATAAATATAAGCTAAAATTAAAATGTAAAAATGTAAGGAGGTGCATAGATGTACATATATGTGTTTAAAATTGTGCACAAATTCAAAAGAAATAATTTTCTTAAAGTTTAAATCAAATTTAAATTGTATTATTAAATGTTCGTTTACTTCATGTTTTCTCTTTTCTATTAACTATTAAAAATAATTTACTTCATGTCTTTAGTTCATTTCAATTTCAATTTCAATTGTTGCATTAGCTTATGGAGATTTTATTTTGTATATTTTAAATTAAATCATTTTTAAATGGTTTAAGTTTTCAAGTATTTTCATTTTTTTTTCAATTGCATGTTTTCATTCGAATGGTTTTTTTTAGACTCACTCAATTTTCCATCGGCGAAGATCGATCTCCCTCGAAGCTTTTCTCTGGAAAAAAGGGGTTAAAGTCCGAATGGCCCTATTTTCTTATATTATTATTCTTTTTGCTATGCAACAATGGAACTTAATTTGAAGTAAAAATAAAGGTGTAAAAATAAAAAAAAAACTAAATTAATAATAAATTAAATTAAAATACTGGAAATTCAGCATAAATTTTCATTATTCGGCTTCATTAAATTCACGGCTAGACGCAAGCAGATCGAGAGCATAATTCGAGCATAAGTTTTTAAATTCAAAGGCCAATATTAACAAATGTTTTGGGCCATTAATCACATTGTCTTTGTTAGAGCAAATTGTTCGCACAAATCTCAGAAGAAAAAGTAACCAAAATGGGCTTTAAGGGTAAACCCTATTTAAAATTATTCTTCACTTGCATTAGGAGGAGGTTAGAACACAGGGTCAGGTCAAGGTTAACCCGCGAGGTTAGCAAAATTTTCACAAAAAAAGAATTAATCGCTTTTCCCGACACGAAGCTGGCCAAGAGATGAGTTGCGCATCCGCGCTGTTGGCCTGATTTTTCCTGGGATCGGCTCCTCCTGCGCTGGTTGTAGCTTCTCTACTTCATCCCTCAGGTTAGGGGTACACCTTGCCTAGGGACTTGACTCTTTACTGCAGGGCCCAATCTGTAAATTTTTCCATTCAAACAGTAAGCACTGCCTTTAACAAACACTCTATTTTCATAATTACCCGCTGGCTTGAGCCCTGGTAACAAATTAAGGGATTTTCCCTTGGCGAAAGGTCTTGTCGACCTTTGGCCCTGGCCGTGCGTCGACGCTGCTTTGCTGCCTCCAATTTTCTAGTTTTCCTAACCTGGGCAACAAAAAGGTTACTCACTGTGCCCCACAAATTTGGCACTTCTCTACTCACTTTTTCTGCGAAGCTTTCAGCGGCCACTTCAACACTTGGTTTACGCGATTCACTGCCACTGTCTGATTTATTGATAATTACGAGCACCCGACACGTCTATGCTCTTCTAGACCTTGATTTAAAAAGACCTCCCACGGAAACGGAAAGTCTGCTTGAAAAAATTTCCTAATTGGCAAATGCGCTCTTCTTCGTCTTCAGAGCAAATGTAAATTCTCTGTTAAATATGCCAAAACGCGTTTTAATTAAATGCAGCTCTACATTACGGCACGTGCAAGCTTGCTCAAAGCTTTGTTACGTAGTCGCTTGACCACCTTTACGTGATCGCCAAAACTGGCGAAGCTAGGCTTAGGCTTCACATAAAGCGTAGCATCCTTCTAGGCTGATTTCCGTGGCAGGGTCTTCAGTCGCCACTACATCGTGTTGTACTCGAAAATTGTAAATCGAACAAGCGAATAATATTGCTGGGCTGCATTCAGCTTCGGTTTCGGCGGTGGCTTCAGGTGGAAAAAAACAGCTTAGCGTGCTCTAAAATACAACAAAAAGGCACACATATTGCCCACCCCATACCCCATAAATGTGTCTCCGTCTCCAAGTATCGAAAAAGTGTTAAAAATCAAAACAAACTTCACAACTAAGTGTGCCAACACACACACACACACACACACAGTGGCAAGTGTAACGAGTGGCTCACATCTCTGTGTATCTCATGGATTGTCTAGCTCAGAAAACTCTCTCTCACAAGCTGGGATGCAGATACTCTTGCAGATACTTGCACCTTTTTCCCGGCAATTTGTAAACCAAAGAAACCCCTTTTTAATCGGACCGAAATCCTCAATTAATATATGCAAAAATTCACATGACAATATGTATATCTGGTTTTTGTTTTGTCGTCACAGCAGCCGTTTAAGAACCGCAGGAGAGCGCTGCGAATAAGTTTACTCAGAGAGCTCAGCACTCTTCTTTTCCATATTTAATTGAACGCGAACCGATCGAAATCGATCGATCGATCGATCGTCGCTCTCACGAGCTGCCCTGGTAAACAATGAAAACGCCCACGGAATGGCGCCAAAACATCAATCAAAGCCAAGGAAAACAAACCAAAAACGATCACTCGACGACGCTACACTCACTACGTTAGCTTACCCGATCCATTACGATGACGGGCTAATCCCACGCGTCAAACCCCTGCCAGCTTATCAGTTTTCCACAACAACTTTTCTTTCGACTGAACTTCGGAAGGGTGGGAAAGAAGAGCGATGATGACGACGATCGTACAATAGTTACCGGTTTTTTGCTAGGACCGCATTATAGTGCGATTTTTAGGAGGTCTTACACAAATTACTTTCTGTATTTAGCCACGTGAAGGGGCCCAGTCGAGGGGGAGATTAGATTACCGCTGGATACTCCCTATCAATATATATATATATATATGTATATATGTTATGTTTATATAGAGACTCGTAGTAGCGGTTAGTGTCCAGTGTGTGCGGCTATCAAAGGAGAGTATCGCTGAGCCAAGAAGATCGCCTGGCGTTAGATAGAGACTCTCCCGGTTCTCGTTCTCCCCTACACTCAGATGTAGATTGTGCACGCGTTGCCCCCACTGTCGGTCCCTTGTATCGCCTATCCGTATCTGCGGCTGTATCTGCATCTGGCCGAACCAGCGCCAGCGCCATCGCTAGCACCTGTATCTGTATCTCTGTACCTGTGTAGCCAGAGCTGTATCTCTCCCCCTCAACGCACACAGCCTAAAACATCTGAATACTATGAGCAAACTTGCCTGATATTATCTTATCACAAATTAATTGGTCGCCATGACAACGGGCCAAAGGCGCAAAAGGCCCCGAAAAGCACCACGGGGCAAGAGTGATCGGCCAGTGGGAATGCTGGTTAGCCCCTCCTAATCCTCCCTTTGTATTAAAATTAAAATGCCCCGTCCCCGTCTTCTGTGGCCATTCACAGGGGCTTTAATGCCACTGCACCTGTCGGCTAAGCGCCTTACATACACCACAGGGCAAGAAAATAAACCCAGTTTCTAAATAATCAAAGTTTGTTTAGGGTTTTTGCAATGTTTTCTTGAAGTTTTCACCTTTTGGAGTACGGGAAAGCATTACATTTAATGAAAGATACAAGTATCTATTAAAATTATGAATGAGAAACAAAGTTTGTAAAAGTATCTTTCACTTATTTTCAAGTATATTAAATACATACAGTCCAGCACACTTTAATTTATATATTAAACATCAATTTCTGTAGAAAATATCTCATTTTTCCCCGTGCAGATACAATTGTATCTCATGGATAGAGGACATACCCAACAGACCGTTAGTTTGGCTCGCAGCGCACCCATCGCTGCTGTCGCTGTCGCCGTCGCTGCTCTGCCACTGGCGGCAGTTTCAAAATCCGTGCGAGAATTATCATCTGGCAAACAGTTCTTCATACCGGATTAGAACGGACGTTTTTCCCAGTCCGGCTCGCGCTCCACTTGCTCCATTTCCACCACAAAAATATCCATTTGCATTTCGGGCCAATCCGGATTTGGTCGAGAGTCTATCCCTCTCTCTGTGTGTGTATCTTTTACCTGGCCAAAAATCGATCAATCCGCCAGATTCGAAGTGCCAACTAGCCGTGAAATCCACATTTAATGACTCTGGTTACTCTCCGTGTTAATTGTGCCTTTGAGTCTGTCGTACTATGTGCAGTCGTGTGAGCCCAGGCAGTAAGTATATGTGCCATACATCCAGAGAAACACAAAATCAAATCCTGGAGCTGGAGCCTGTTGCTGCGACGTCAGCGCCCAGTGGCTGCTGGCCGCTTTTTATCTAAACAATTTATCGATTTTCGTTTAGATTACAACGCGTGTACCCATCCAACTTCCCTTCCCTTCTCCTCTCGGCTCCCGCCTCTAGCCTCCGAAAAAAAACACAAACGATAAGATACACTCGACCCATTTGAATAAGCGCAAATATAGTGTCCCCACCGCCAACCGGGCTTATTATATACGAGGCAAACTCTGGGTACATTGTACATGGATCTCTGTGCCGGGTACGGGTACGGGTACGGGTGAGGGTACGGGTATGGTTGTGGGTACTTTCCCTGGCTAGTTTTTGTTTATGCCCCAAACTGGGGCTATTTATATTAAGTGTGCACACATGCTGCCATATCTGCTGCTCTCTCTAGTATGTATGCCAGCTTATCATTACGCACTAATTGTGTGAAATCAATGCCGCAGACAGATAAAAGCAGAGTCAAGCCAAAACCATAAACAGCAACTCAAAAGCAAACCAAAACAGGAAGGAAAACAAACTATAAATGACAATTAACATAATGCCGCGGGAATAATCCTAAATTTGTGTGACTTCATTCGCAAAAAAAGAGAAAAGAAATAAAAACATACAAACATATCGCGAAAACCCCGAGTAAATACGCAAAGGAAAACAGCTAAACTAAAGCACAAACAATGATAATATCCAGCCAACCAAATTTGGTTGGATCGGCAACGAGTGCGACGCCATCGTCGTCCACTAATCCCAGTTCCAATCCCAGTTCCCACACCAATCCCAGTGCTGCTGCCCACATGGGCGACGAGAGTGTTCCAAGCAATTGCAATTGCAATGTGGGCGTGGACCTGGTTGGGATCGGGGCCAGGCAATCCCCGGTTCCCGCCCTGGAAGCACCATCACCAGCACCAGCACCAGCACCAGCAACAAGCACAAATGCTGGCAGAGATTCATTAACGCGTCCGGCCTCCGATGAGTCCGAGTTAAATGTGGGTAAGGTTGCCTCTCCTCCCTCCTGCCTCTTGGGGGGGTTAAAGTTGAGTTGAGTTTGATGATGTTGCGGTCAGGTCAACAGGGAAGAGACCCTTTAGTGTGGAGGAGGATTAGTTTTCCGGGTGAGCTTCTGGCAATTATATAAAGGCTGCTTAATTCTCTGGAATTTTTCTAATAAACGTTTCTATTTAGTTTGGATTTCCATCTGCTTTTTTATAGTTAAACCAAGTAATTAAACATTTTAACAGGTAAAATAATATATAACAGAGCAATTTCAGAGAACAGCTTTCATATTTATTTGTTTGTTTATATAACTGAAATACAAGCTTATATCAGAGAACAGCTTGCCTGTAAATATGTATATTTATGCCATTAAAAGAAAGACTCTGCATATAGACTACGAATTAAGCACCTTAAGCTTTTCCAGCCATTAATTATAAGAAAACAAATAAATCTCCGGGAGGACTTGGGTTGGCCTTAAAAAAATAAAAAGTAAAACCCAAGACAAGACAAAACCTTAAATTACTTGTTGATAACTTTAATTTGCTTGCTGTGGGAATCCGCACAAAATTCCGCTACAAAGAAAGTTTGTTTGGTCAATCATTTCCAATGGGAGAACCTTAAAAATTGCTTGGGCCTAAGCATACATAACTTGCAAGAAGCCACAGAATTTTAATTTCCTTTAAACTTTTCTCAAGAATTTTACCAGAGAAGATTGTATACAGGCCCTACTTCAATAGGGCATGAAATTCCTTAATTATGTACTTTAAAGATTAAATATAATGTGCTGAAAATCTAGTACTTGAAAGGGGTTTTAAAGGATTGTTGATAAAAGTATAGAATACGATATAGAAAACCTCAAGTCTAATTGTTTACATAGGGATTTAATACAAATTCTGCCTCAATTGTTTTAAAGCTCTTTTATTTATTTATTAAACTGAAAATACACCACGATTTAATGCTTTAAAATGAATATATAAAGTAGTTTTTAGATACAAATTTAAGCTAGTTAGATAGACCCCCCTTTTAATTGTGTAAATATGAATTTCAGGACTTCCAAAACCTCCCAACTTTTAATTATTTGAACATCAAAACTTTGTTTGATAAATTTCCCAACTTGTTTAAGAACTAATTTTATGCTCCATATGCAAAAAAAAAAAAATATATATATACCCTGGGTCAGCCTTTAGTCCATTGAAGTCCTGCTTCTCATTAAGTAAAATATAATTTGCGGAGCTGAGTTCCTTGGGGCACCAGGACTCAGTCAGTGCTCAGTGCTCAGTGGGTTGGAGTGCCTCCGTTGACAGTTCAGGAGCAGCTTCCCTAAGGACTAACCCCGTATCCTTTCGCAGGGATCCACACACACACGTGTGTGAGTGCGTGTGAGGGAGCTACCCGTTCGTTTATAAAGTGTTTCTGAAATGCCAACGTTTATAATTAAATAAAACGTGCAACAAGAGGAATTAATGTGCGTGCGTGTCCCTGGCAAAGTGTTGGTTCTTGTGTGTGTGTGTGTTGTGTGTGTATGTTGTGTGTTTGTTGTGGGTTCTGGTGACCATTCATTTTGATTGTGGGCGTGCGGGCATTTAGACCCCGAAAGTATGCAGCGTACCGCTACGCCCAGAAATGTAGCATATTTTTCTGGGGTATTTTCCTCCACCTCGCAACCCCTGAAAAGACAATTTTCCACTAACTGCCGAACACTCTTCTTACAGGCACAGGCACCTCGGGCACCAGTTCATCCGGCGGCGGCAACAGCCACCGCCACCGCAAGTCATCGCTCGCCCTCGCTCTAACACCGGAAGATGAGCCAATGGACGTGTACCAGGTGAGTCTGAGTCTGAGTCTGAATCTCCTCTGGAACATCGAGGAAGAGAGCCCCCCACTCGATCGACCACATGGGTGTTACGTCGTCTGATAAGGTATCTTATCACAACCTGCCGCTGTACACGCTCTCGCTCTCTCTCTCCGCTGCGCTTTCCGCCGCTTTACATTTCGCTTTAAATAGCCGCTCACCCATACCCATACGGTGTATAAACAATATGGGCTACCACAGAAATCAAATCAATTAACATTGAAGGTGGGAAATCAAAAGGCAAAGAAAGAGATTACCCCTGCGATCGACGGACGAGGACGGACGACGTTTCGGTTCAGTTCGATGTGTCGAGCGTCGCGACCACAAGACCTGTGAATTACTATTCTGAAGCGATTGAGATACAGATTGAGCTAGAAACGCAGATACAGATACAGATACAGATACAGCTACAGCTACAGCTTTTAGATAGAGAGCTGTAGATACAGATATCGACAGTCTTACAGATACAAATCGAGATTGTCCCATTAGTCTGGCATTAGGCGTCGTGGAAAAGTTGAAAATGCCTCTCCTCCGTTCGTGTGGCGTCGCTTATGCAAACAACTTGTTATTGATCTAAGACATTGGACCTCAAGTGCCCAGTGTTCGCTGTCTAGTGTTTAGTGTTTAGTGTTTAGTGCTCCGTGTGCTCTGCTTGCTCGCAATCTCCTCTCTCCCCCGCGTCAAGTGTTGTTTTATAATTAGCAGAATGCGCAATTGCTTGCCAAAATTTAGCCATGTCTTTCGCCGCAAATCCTCCTCCAACTCGGCCAAGTCCTCCTCCGCCGCCGGAATCCACCGCGAGAATCCCACCGAGCCCGCCTCCGACTCCGACTCGGAGCCGTATGTCGCAGCTGTTGCTCCGCCGGCTTCTATGGCTATATCCGATCCGCGTCGCGATAACCGTAATGAAAGACCAATGCCAGATGACGATAGCGCTCGCAGCCGGCTGATAAGCTCTGTTCATTTGGATTCCGAAACGGATTTGTATACGGATTCGCTGCCACCGGGCGGCGACGGCCAAGGTTCCTGCCCGGAAATGAAACTGGAAACGATTTCTGCAGTGGCTCCTCCAGTGGCCATTTCCCTGCCATTTGGTGGGCGGAACTCGAGTAAAACGCCCGAGGAAATGGAGCTGGAGTACGAGGCGAGTGTGGCCGCCGAAGGTCGTGACATAATGACCCCCCTGCGTCGCAGCACAAGGCCACTGAGCATGGCCTTTGGCTCCAGAGCGGGAGCTGTAGGAGGAGCTGGAACTGGAACTGGAGTGATGCAGCCGGAAATAGTCGAGGTCATACGCAGCCTGGATGTACCGGCTCTATTGCTCAACAGCCTCAACTTGGAGGCAGACCCAAGGGAGCCCCGTGCGGAGCGATGTCACCAGGAGATGGAGTGCGACAGCAGCGAGGAGACAGTGGTCCTTCGTCGCAAGGTCAACTGCCTGGAGCGTAAGACACGCAGCCTGTACGAGAGACGACTGCCCAAGGTGCCGAAGCTTCACCTCCAGGTGGCCGCCAAGAAAATCACCGAGGAGGAGGAGTTCAGGACTTTTCAGGTAGCAGGACCAACTTTTACGGTTGTCCCATCAATCTGCCGCCTTAGCCGCGTCTTATTACATTCGAACGCAGAGTGTGTGTGTGGGTGTGTGGAAAATGGCTGTGATACATTTCCGATTACATTTTCATTCCCCTGATTGACACTGAGCCCGCTCCAGCGTTCGTTTGTTCATTCCCGGGATTTAACGTGCTCGTATTATAAATCTGCAGCCACCTCACATAAGTCAGAATCAGAATCAGAATGAGACTCAGAGAGTTTTGGAGTTGGTGGCGGGCAATTTTATTTTAATTTATCATCATTTGGGCGACACACACGCCGGCTGGCATTGTGCTCGCGTAGCTGGTATCTGGTATCTGGTAGATAGGGAGGCACCCGACGACGACGCACTGACAGATACACAGATACACGGGAGGGGACTGCACGGATACAAGCATATGGACGACAGACGGTGGGAAAAAATGCGAAGCCGGGTTAAGCCCTCTTATTCTGATGGGCGGAAAGCCAGCGTAGCTACGGATTTATATTAAATTTTACACGTTAGCTCCCCTGTGCCTGTGTATCCCTGTTTTATCTTTTATCCTTCCGTCTCCTTCCACCTCTCGTTGCAGCGAAATCTCATGGACCTGAAGTATCCAACCGTGCTACCACCGAATCCTCAACTTAAGGTAAGCTCTCTGAGGGCCACTTTGAACTCTGGGGCAATTCAATCAGTGCAATGGCTTTGGACACTCCTCATCCGCTTTTCTTTTTGTTTAGGCCCTGCTGGTCTTCCACAAGGCGGACAGCATCTGCGAGGCGGTCACCGCGGCCTGCCAGCGCCACCAGCTGGACGTAACGCTGGTCAAGTCGAAGGAGGAGGCGCTGGACACCCTGCAGAAGTCGTATGCCACCGCCCAGTGCTACCACCTAATCATAATTGATGCACGTTCCGCCAAGAATCTGGATGCGGAGCATATTGCGAGGTGGGTTACTAAGGCTACTCCAAATGGGTTGCCGCCTCAGTTGAAATGGGTTCGGGTTGCCACTTGTTTAGGGTTGGCACAAAGTTTTCCAAACTTTTCCATTTTCATAAACTTTTCACTTTGCCATAAAACTTCTCCTGTTCTCCCGCTCCGCCTGCTCCTCCTGCAGAACCATACGTCACACACATGGCCACCATTTAACGACAATAATTGCAGTCTGCAAGAAGAGGTAAGTTTTGTGTCTGATGGAGCACTGGAGTTAAAGTTTACCACTAACGACCGATCCGACCTTTGGCAGTTTCTTCGAGAAGGATGATGTGCTAATTGCTCTATTGGACGCTGGCGTTAATAGAGTAAGTTTCAGTTAATTGCCTCCCCCTCGGAACAGATGCCTCAAGTGCCTGCTCTCCTTTGTGTGTTCCACAGTGCGTAGCGGAGACGACCAACCTGGCCATGTGCAGTGTGGAACTGAAGCAGATACTGCACTCCATCATCCGGCCGCACAATGTCATGTCCACTCAACAGGTAATCGAGTTAATGTCCTGCTACGTTTTCCCTCCCCCTCCCCTCCCCCCAAAAGCTGTGTCCTGAAAATTAATTCAATTAAATGGAAGCCGCCAAGTGAAACTGTAAACCCACCATGGTCTGTCCGTATTCCCTCCAGGCACTCTACACGGCTCTGCATCGGCTGAAGGAGGTGGTGCTCATCACGGACGACGTGCTGCGCATTCAGTACGCAAACAGGGCCACCGAGAGGCTCCT